TTGGTACATGGGATGCTGCACCTCAGCCACCCGCCCCTAAAGAGTTGGAGAATCATGGAATTCCACCCCCAGAGAAGTGAAGGCACAGGGCTTGTCACCTGGAGGAGATGCACTCAGTGAGACTGAGAGAAGTCAAAGGTGCAGATAGCTCTGAACTGGGACCCTATATGCATCATTGTCTTATCGGTGAGGAAGGGGCCTTCTCATGCCCTTTCCAGGGAGATAACCTGGAAAAGAAGGAAATGGTTCTGCATAAATGAGAAGCCTAGTCCAGGTAGGAAAGTTCCTGGCCTTGTTTTGTCTCCCCCGTTTCTCTCCTTTCCGTTGTCTCTCACCCTCTGTCTCATTCCCACTTATAAAGATGGGCAAAAGCAAAGGTAGTTTCCATTTCAGAGTGTGGGATGGTAGTCAGATTCACTGACATTCAATGGTTATTGCAATCAGAGCCTGTTTCTTTCTCATTTACATTGGCTTTATACATAACTCTGAGTGCAGCTGGTTTACCCTGGTGTAAGTGAGAGGAGATTCAGGCCCAAAGAGGAGCTCAGCAGGGAAACAACACAGGAATAAAGGGCAGGAGCAGAGGAGACAAGGGGGAGGGGAAGAAGGCTATGAGCTTTCCCCCACCCGAGCTCCAAGGGAAGATAATGGGTGGGTCTTGCAAAATCCTGCCCCATCCATGTCCTTTGCTGAAATGTGCTTTTGTGACTCCCTATGGCAGTACTTCGAGAACAGAGGACATTATCCCTGTGTCTGCTACAAAAGAAAGTCCCCCAGAGAGGCTATCACACCTTTCTCGAGTGGAGGAAGCAAACTATAATTACAAAAGACCATGCAGTATCAGTTCTTTAGTACTTCCTATGCTGATGCCAATTAACTCTACTGCACCTGTAGCGTATATCAGAACAGTAACTCTGTGGTGTGCTTTGCAGTGAAGAATGCTATGAAATCCATGTATAACAGAGAAATGTCATAAGTAACCCAGTCATATTTTACATATGAGCCAGTGTTTGATACTGAATCGCTAATAAAGTGCCCCTGTTTCTTTAAGGGATTGTTGAAGTTGCTGGCAGGTTACAGGTCCAGTTTAGTATCTGATATGTCCTCTACTATGTTCCACCCTTGCAGGGAAATAGACTCAACAGTCAGAGAGTCTGTTCCATCTCTAACTGCTGTGGTCTCCTGTAGCATGTAGAAGCTGGACAGACAGGCTCCAGATGCTTTAGGTGTTGCTGGAGTCCAGGCATTATGCTTGGTGGAGAAAACAAACAAATCAAAAACCAGAAGCTGAATTTGTAAAGGGGACAACTGGCAGGAAAGCAACACAGCTGCATCTCCATGAATATGAGTCACCCATTTCTTTGCCATTTGAACTTTATCCGATGCTGTTTTAGATCCAGAGACACCAAAGTGGGGTGTTATTAAACTGTGACACTGCAATGTTTTTGTTGTCCACATTTGATTTCTAAGCACTCTTCCAGTGTGCAGAATTCAGCAGCCATTCTGTACTCGGAACATAATGCTGACTGCCAGATGTACACAAACACTGTCCTCTCTTCTGGAGACTTTGTATTTGTTCTTATTTTGTTGTTCTCTTACTCAAATAAAAACACTTGGATTTAAAGAATTTTGTTTACTCATTTGTATGGAAAAAGATAACAGATAGGACCAGGACCAGCCAATCTTTTTTTTTTATTCTTGTATTTTCTCGTAAGGGCTTATAAAGTACGTTGATCCATGGATTCTGCCCTTCAAATGTTCATGTCGGTTGTAATACATCTTGGCTAACACATTGATTTATCTGGATGGCAAAGTGCAAAATGTCTCAGCGTACCAAGAGTGTGTAATTCATCTGTGAATGTGCAACCAGAAATCGCTTGGCTGAGTTCTGCTGTGTGGTTAATGGGTTAAATAAGAATTCAGCCAAAACTCAAAACAAAAGAAATAACTAAATAAAAAGGGGGTAATCCATCAGACTCCATGTAGGTCAGAACTGAAACAAGAATCACATTCCTTGGGTTCAAGGCTTTAGAACAAGTAGATGCAGGAGATAAGTCACACACACTACACAGCCGTTCATATAACTGAAAGCCTGGCGATATAGAAAAATTTCTACAAGGATTCCCATCTGTTGAAATAAGGCAACTGTCCTGAATGTTAAGGATTGGCTATTCATCCTGCAGTAAATGGATCAATATCATGCCTTGCAGTGACGTGATATTGTATCAAGACATCATAACTTGTGGTTACAATGTGAGGGCACAACATAACACAGCATCATGGAATGAAGATGCAAACCTCACACCTTCAATTCCTTACTGAGCACTGGGAATTCAGAAAGCCGTTGAGAGTCACAAGGAAAACAATCTGTCTGAGGCCCTGGCAAGCCAGAAAAGTCTATTTGGTATAAGCTAAGGTGTGATTTTTGAGCTAATATATTTGTACTGGTATAACTCACTTGCGAACACTTTTGTTCCAGTATAAGAAGGGCTTTTTTTCTTTTTGTTTGAAGGTTGCTTGGGAAGGAGTTTAAGCTAGACTGAAAAAAGACACACTTATGTAGGAAGAGTATACTTGTAGAACAAGAAATACTTTCCCATGTAGACAAGGCCTACGGCCTTAATCATGCAAACATTAATACATATGCTTAACTTTTCTAACATGCACAATCCCATCAAAATCAATGGGACTATGGATACAGTACAGTTTAGCACATGCGGAGGTGTTTGTAGTTAAGTTAAAAATCAAACCGTTGGCTGTAGGGGAATAGCCACCATAAGGGAGAGGAAAGTAGAGGCACCATGGAAAGAATTCACAAAACTGCTGGTGATTAGGCAAGCCATAACTTGCTCATTTACCTTTCTGCAGTTGCACACAACACCAAACAGTTTATGTTTTAATTGAACATTATCTTTATTAAAAAGAAAAGGAGTACTTGTGGCACCTTAGAGACTAACCAATTTATTTGAGCATAAGCTTTCATGAGCTACAGCTCACTTCATCGGATGCATTCAGTGGAAAATACAGTGGGGAGATTTATATACATAGAGAACATGAAACAATGGGTGTTACCATACACACTGTAACCAGAGTGATCACTTAAGGTGAGCTATTACCAGCAGGAGGGGGGGAATAGGGGGAGACCTTTTGTAGTGATAATCAAGGTGGGCCATTTCCAGCAGTTGACAAGAACGTCTGAGGAACAGTGGGGGGTAGTGGGGGGAAATAAACATGGGGAAATAGTTTTACTTTGTGTAATGACCCATCCACTCCCAGTCTTTATTCAAGCCTAAGTTAATTGTATCCAGTTTGCAAATTAATTCCTATTCAGGAGTCTCTCGTTGGAGTCTGTTTTTGAAGTTTTTTGTTGAAGAATTGCAACTTCTAGGTCTGTAATCGAGTGACCAGAGAGATTGAAGTGTTCTCTGACTGGTTTTTGAATGTTATAATTCTCGACGTCTGATTTGTGTCCATTTATTCTTTCATGTAGAGACTGTCCAGTTTGACCAATGTAAATGGCAGTGGGGCATTGCTGGCACATGATGGCATATATCACATTGGTAGATGTGTAGGTGAACGAGCCTCTGATAGTGTGGCTGATGTGATAAGGCCCTATGATGGTGTCCCCTGAATAGATATGTGGACACAGTTGGCAACAGGCTTTGTTGCAAGGATAGGTTCCTGGGTTAGTAGTTCTGTTGTGTGGTGTGTGGTTGCAGGTGAGTATTTGCTTCAGGTTGGGGGGCTGTCTGTAAGCATTTCCCCATGTTTATTTCCCACCACCACCCCCCACTGTTCCTCAGAGTTTTTGTCAACTGCTGGAAATGGCCCAGCTTGATTATCACTACAAAAGGTCCCGCCCCCCGGCTCTCCTGCTGGTAATAGCTCATCTTAAGTGATCACTCTGGTTACAGTGTGTATGGTAACACCCATTGTTTCATGTTCTCTATGTATATAAATCTCCCCACTGTATTTTCCACTGAATGCATCCGATGAAGTGAGCTGTAGCTCACAAAAGCTTATGCTCAAATAAATTGGTTAGTCTCTAAGGTGCCACAAGTACTCCTTTTCTTTTTGCGAATACAGACTAACACGGCTGCTACTCTGAAACCTGTCATTGTCTTTATTATTGAAAATATTTGTTTGCTTAATTGAACAGTGACTGTAACAGCCAGCTGCTTAATCATAACTAAATGTGTTGCCTTTTTAGCTCAAATGGTAGGGGTTTAAGCTTTTGATAACTGAAAACAGGATTTGGACCACAGTTGGTAGAGACCTACTGTTCAATTTTTGCATATATACAAAATGTCTGTGGTGCAATATTATTTTCAAGAAAAACAAAAGTCGGAATGAAAGGTACCAGCATATTACCATCAACTGAACTAGCATATTGCCATCAATTGGAGCAAACGTGTGCTTTATAAAGCAAAATGGAAGCATGATTACCTATCAGTCTCCACCATTAAAGGATTTTTTTAATTATTTTTTTAAATTTAGAAGTACTGAGTCTGTAAAGTTTTGTTTTCCTTGTTTTTGCTAGAAAACTCCTTGGAGGACCCAGAGAAATGGACTGGGAGATTTCTCAGTCCTTTTGAAGACTTTGAACAAAAATATCTTTTCTTGCAAATGTTTCTCATATACTTGAGCTAACCAGGAATTAGCAAAAACAAACTTTTGAACAGTCCGAATAACAATCCTATTGTCCATTTTGCGGTGGTATTTCTGATATCAAAATCCCTGCCAGTTCTTCAGGTGTTCTGAGTCTTCCAGGAAACACAAGGCAGAAAAAACCTGAAAATCTAAGACTACAAAAAAAAAAAAAGAAAGAAAAAGTGTTTTTTTTTGTTTTTACTTCTTTCAGCCTGGCACCACCTGCGCCCCCGAAGCGGCTCAGGAACTACAACTCCCAGCATGCGGCACGGCGACCTCGGCCGTCCCCGCATTGCGATTGGCTGGTTGGGGGGCCTCCCCCCCTCACGTCACTCAGGCCGACAGCGTCGGCTGCTGTCCGGGGCAGAAGGAGCGTGAGCCCGCCCGCAGGTAGCGGATCCGAGCGGGCCGGGCTCAGTCAGGGCCTATGGCAGCGGCGCGGGGGGTTCGCGGGTGTCTCCTGCGGGGGCCCTTCCATGCCCGGCTGGGCAGGGGCTGCAGCTCCGGGGCTCCTGTGCGGCAGCAGCAGCAGCAAGCGCTTGTGGCTGCCCCCGCCCCGGCTCAGGTGAGTGGCGGGCAGCAGCCCGGGGGGTTCATGGGAGCCCCGGGGCGGCGTGGCTCCTTGCAACGGGGGAGCCATGTAGGCGGGCAGGTGTCTGGCTCAGTAGGGAAGTTGTGGGGGGCAGCTGGGGAGGAGGGAGTTAAAGGGGGGGCTGGTGGGGTGGGAGTTAGCTAGGGAGAGGGGGCCAGAGGGTGACTGGATTTGAGGATCAGGTGGGTGCCAGCCCCTGGGGATTATATGCATAGAGGAGAGTGGGGCAGTAGTTATCTAGGGGGAGGGTGCCAAGGAAAAGGGTGTTTTGGAGGCTAGGGGTTACCTAGTTTTGGGGAAGGGGGGGGTCATACTTTACATAGCAATTAACACTGACAAAAGGCCACCTCTGGGGCGAAGTGTGTGTGTGTGTGGGGGGGGGGGGTCAACAGCTGAGCAGCAGGGAGGTAAGGGCTTTTAAACAAGATATTGGCACAACCATTTGCTCTTACAGAAAGTGCCCGGAGACCTTGGGCATCTGTATGGAGGAGGTAGCCTTGTGAAAATGCCTATCATGGTGAGCTGCAGGCTGCTAAATCTTACTTTCTTGGAAAGCTGAGTTGCACAGTCAACTTTCCCCTCAAAGTAGCTATCTAGAAGGAAGAAAAAAATGGGTGGACTGTAGATAATTTTAAAAAAAATCTGTTAAAGGAGCTCATGTTGTGCCTTTTCTGTCTCCTTGACTGAGACAGGCAACTACTGTTTGAACACTGATGATCTTGGTTTTAGATAGCACTTTTTTTCCTCTTTGAGAGATCCTAAAGTGCTTTACAGAAATATTGTGTACAGAAATCCTTGCACTCACCAGTGAAATGTAACCACATCTGGACTGGAATGTGGCAGCTGGCTAATAGGGGACAACAGTGCCACATGGCAGTTCACAGCTGGGAACGAAGGTGAAAACTGTATCCCTCTAATCTTAACTATTTTTTTAAAAAATTGCGGAAATATCTAAGAATAATGTTCTCTATTATCATAAGTGTGAGTTTATTCAACGGGGAGGTCTGTGTTTAAAGGGTGACTTTTTAAAACTGCTCTACAGGTAACCTTTTATAACTGGAAATAATGTCACACAGTTTAAGCTCCAGACTTAAGTGTTGTGTTTAGTAATGTACTACTACTTTACGTTTGGTTTCATTAAACATTTTCTGGTTTCTGTTTAAATATTCCTCTGGAGTAATTGCAACTATAATATCCTAGCATTGGAACTGAACTTGACTGAAAACAATAGTGAAACCTGAATAGTTTTTCACTTGTCCAGGATGAGAGAAAAAAAAAACAGATAGTTAAATGGCATATGTGGTGAAAAGTAAATTAGTTTTTTTTTAATTCTTTCAGTATTTATAATCTACCATGTTACGAGTACGGAATTCTGTGCATTTTAAAATGTTCAACCTCTATGTGTTAACTTTAAGCAATAACATCTCCTCTCCCCCTATTACAGGCTGTTTTTTGTCTCAAGTGTAATACTAATACTTATCTCTTAATTACAGTGTATTATTCTCTTGTTTAGTAATAGTGAAATTTCATCTCCTTTATCCATTTTGTAGTGAACAAGTCATTCAGCAAAAATGTTTTTCCGTTCTGGGTATACTGTACACTATTCAAAAGCACATTATCTGTAAATGCCAGAAGTGGCCATCTTTGTTGAAATTGGCCATCTGATGATCAACTGGATGTAACCCAAGAGGTCATGTGGACTTCCTAGTAGAAGGCTGTTTGTTTACTTTGCACAGCTGTCTTGAAACTGAATTTCCTCAGCAAAAACATTGTCCTAACTAGGCTGCTCCCAATTTGTTAGATGCCTCGAAAATTAATTCCACCTCCTTGGTGCCAAACTGGGGTGGAAGGGCACAACAGAAACATGCAGAGTGTAAGTGTCTGGCACACGTCTGCAAAAATAGGACTTGACATACAGAATAATCACAAGTTTTACGTGATTTATTGGTTACACTCTCTCACATGGCAGCCCCTTAACGAGCAAAAAACAGACTGGGACTAGGTTCTGGTGCTGCTTTCTGGATTACTGGAAGTCAGTAATATTTTTAAACTGACGGTGAATTTAATACTTTTTTACAAGAAATCAAACTGACAGTAAACAACTTATCTGTCAGTAAAATTGGCTCAATAAGTTAGAAAAATGGTTGTTTGGTTTTCGATGGGTCACATAGTAGACTTGTTAAATTATGTGACTACAAGCAGAGCTTTAAGTCTAAAATTGCCATCCTAGAGACTGCATTTTTAAAATTGCTCAATCTAGAATACCTTGCTCTTTTGAATGCTACTTTGCAGGTTTCAAAGCAGAATATTGTCAATCACCTTTTTTTTTTTTCTTTTTTGGCTTGCAAGAAGGGAGGAGCACTTGGGATATCTGGTGGGTAGACCTGTGACTTCTATGTGTATGGTGGTGGCAGTTGTATTGTGGTCTAAAATGTCATCTGAATCCCCCTGTAACTTAAGCAGCCAATCAATGTTAGTTATTCCATGTAAAATGGGGTTCTGTATCCCCCTTTCTTCTCTCTCCCTTCTGGGGGTCAAATGGCAGGAGGGATATTCTTTCCAAGTTCCTTCCACAAAATAAGCACTCAGATTGGTCACCAAAATCAGATGCTGCTCACTGTAGATTATGCAGATATTCTAAATATGATCACGTTTGCCACTTGGCATGCCCCTCGGTAGGGTTTGAATATGAGGCTCCTTTCTGCCATCCACCTAAATGAAGGAGGAATTATCCCCCGAATACTACCCACTTGTGGCACCGGAATGAGATGTTACACACAATACATGTTAAGGAGTACTTGTGGCACCTTAGAGACTAACCAATTTATTTGAGCATGAGCTTTCGTGAGCTACAGCTCATTTCATCGGATGCATACCGTGGAAACTGCAGCAGACATTATATACACACAGAGATCATGAAACAATACCTCCTCCCACCCCACTGTCCTGCTGGTAATAGCTTATCTAAAGTGATCATCAAGTTGGGCCATTTCCAGCACAAATCCAGGTTTTCTCACCCTCCACCCCCCCACACACACAAACTCACTCTCTTTGTCACTCTCTTTGTCACTTTGGATGGGCTATCACCAGCAGGAGAGTGAGTTTTGTGTTGGGGGGGTGGAGAGTGAGAAAACCTGGATTTGTGCTGGAAATGGCCCAACTTGATGATCACTTTAGATAAGCTATTACCAGCAGGACAGTGGGGTGGGAGGAGGTATTGTTTCATATTCTCTGTGTGTATATAAAGTCTGCTGCAGTTTCCACGGTATGTATCCGATGAAGTGAGCTGTAGCTCACGAAAGCTCATGCTCAAATAAATTGGTTAGTCTCTAAGGTGCCACAAGTACTCCTTTTCTTTTTGCGAATACAGACTAACACGGCTGTTACTCTGAAACAATACATGTTGCAGATCTGTGGTCTTCCTTTGCTTTTTGCATGAGGAATGAAGAGGAGTGTTGTGGGAGGGATGTGTCGGGTGAGGCTGTAGCAAGCAGCACTGTGGCCTGCTGTATCTTACACAGGCCCACTATGGGGTTACCTAAGTAGTTCCAATTAAGCAATATTTGGGCTTACTTTTTAAGGACCCGGTGGCAATTTTTATTTACTTGTAGCCCATGGGGTTTTACACTTAACTTGGGGGCCACTTTTTCTCTGGGCTTTTTTTTTTTTTTTCCTTAGGCCAAGCACTGCCCCTCACATGCAGCATGATTTTGCAAGCCCTGCCCCTATGCTGCTCCGTAGCCTCACTCCCTCTGGGTTTGGATGGCTTTTTTTTTAGACCAGTCATGCTTGTTTTTTCACCCCCAGCAAAATCCTCTACAAATGCCTATTTAGTGATTTGTCAAGACAAACACTTGATCGTTTTTCGTTAGTCTCTCAGAGAACTCTGTTAAATCTTCATAGTCTCTGGAAAGTGAAGAATGTCTGAGGGCTTCAGGCCTGGGTGGCAGGGCTCAGGTTACTGGCCCCCTGCCTGGGGCTGAACCCCTTGAGCTTTGGCTTTGCTCCCACTCCACCTGGGGGGTGGGGCTCAGGTTTTGGCACCCCCACCAGGATGGCGGGGTTCAGGCAGGCTCAGGCTTCAGTCCCTGCTCCTGGGGTCATGTAGTAATTTTTGTTGTCAGAAGGGGGTCGTGGTGCAATGAACTTTGAGAACCCCTGCACTAGGCCATCTTGCGATATTCCTAATGGGTGTTAATATTTCTGGTGATAACTTTTTAAATTTTTTTATATTTGTGGAAAAATTACTCTAGAAAGCACAATCTGATTGACGCATCCGGAGGCTTGACACCCTGTCACGGAGAGTTACAGGAATAACTGTTATATTTTTTTTAACTATTCAGTGTGATCTTCTAAACATCTTAGTGGTAATATAAAGTGTCAGATTGACAGCCCAGGAGTCTGAAGTCCTTTGTTCACAGATCAGGTAGCAGTACAGTCAGTAGCAGAGCAGGCTCCCCCCTATCAGTGTGCCTCAGCTGACCTTTCAGGTGGGATGAAAATAGTTCAGGGCCCATAACCATTTAATCCTTGGCCTTTCTACTGAGGCTATTGATAATGCCAGTGAGTGCCAGCTGAAGAGGTGTGGGTTTTTTTGTTTTTGGTAATGTAGACAACAGTTCCACTAGAAACTGGAACGAGAACTACCAAGCTCATCTCACGTGTCTGTGAATAACCATTAGTGGGAACTTGCTGTCGGCACCAGCTTAGGTTGGATTGACCTGGAAACGTAGATAGCTAAGGATGGATCACTTGATGATTACCCGTTCTGTTTATTCCCTCTGAGGCACCTGGCAATGGCCACTGTCAGAAGACAGGATACTGGGCTAGATGGGCATTTGGGTCTGACCAACTATGGCCGTTCTTATGACTCCTCCCATTACCAGTCCCCTAAACTGTATCCCAGTGTAAGGATATGACAACAAGCTAATAAATAGGAAGTTCTAGCAGTCAGGATGAAAACATGATCTCTTTTACAGAAGCCTGTCTGCTACACACCAAGCAAAGATTGTTCATTATTTCCAAGAATACTTTTAAAGGGACCATATCGACATGAGTCTGCAGATCCAGATGACATGAGTTAGTGGCGAATCTCTGTTTGCATCACTTGGGCAGAGGGAGAGGAACAGATGGAGTCATACTTTCACTGGGGAAAGCCCTGGGTAGTAAGCTTTCCTCTCTTCATTCACTTTAAAGTTGTCAATCTTTTATAACCTTGTGTTACACCAGCTTTTGCATGCTTCTGGTGGAGATTTTTTTACAGATTCTAAGGTTATAATGAGAGAGTGTCATGACAATAACTAGGACTTCTGTTTTATTTTTAGTTTGTAGAAAAAGCAAAAGCATCAATGCATTTGCTTTTAAATTACAAGCAGCTTCTAGCGCTCAAGCAACATTACAATAACAAACCATTTTATGCAACTGAAGAAAAATTCAATTAAGGAAGCAGATCTTGATTTCAGTTTCAAAAAGTATGTTTAAACAGCTAAAAGATTTTATAAAACTACAGTAAAACCT